ATAAAGATCAGACTGAAGTTAATCAAGAATGCATGTTTCTAACATAATTCTGGGCATAGGAAAGAAGAAGCACAACTACCGTTGAGCTCAGGGTATCTACTAGTCTGTTACTCCCGACTCTCACCTGTGTGCTTGTGCATATTTCGTACGACTAAATCTTTAGGCTCAATTGCGAATTGTGCATTAAGTGCAACCCTTTAACTGGCTTCACCCCTCCGCCCCTTCCCCACATCTTGCCACTATTTTGTTTAGTTGCCGTGTGGCATATGTTGCAAAGGATTCTTCGTATGCTACGCACTTGTTAAGCGGGCCTTGAGGGCTTAACTCCTCGTGTGCAGCTCATTTGAAAACGATTTAAGCTTGTTGCCCCTGTCCGCCGAACATGCCCCCCTCCCCTGACCCCTCCCCTGTCGCAGCTAGTAATCAACTTGAAATGACATTTCAAGTTGGTCGCGTCCTCGCAAGTTCTTGTACATGTCAGCTTGGCAAGGTGTTTCGTTTCACATATCAACAACAGCCGCTGCTCAAAAACTGCAACACATTTAACATGTCCGTGTCGGCAATGTCCTGCTGCCTGCTGCCTTCTACCTTCTACCTTCTGTTCTGCCCCGTTGTCATTGTCAACGCAAATCTGTTTTGATTTTAATCCTGCTTATGCGCTGTGAAGCCGACTCGCACAATGCTCTGCTTGGATGCCATTGGACCTGCGGCGCATTCTCTGCCCTCTGCCAGCCAGCCTGCCAGCCTGTTTGCCTCTGCCATTGTTGTGCAGCGAGCCGTGCTGCTTGTTGTTGAACACAAATCCGCTGATGTCCTGGTTGCTGCCACAACTGCTCCTGCTGCTGCTGTTGCTGCTGTTGCAGCTTCCGTTGATGCTGATTATGCGCCTTAAGTGCCGAAATCAATGCACACAAATGGCCAAATTACATGGTCAGCAGCAGCAGTAGCAGCGGGGGGTTGGTGGAGTTTGCAAGTGTTGCTGTTTTGTTTATTAATCAATTGATGATTTTTTTTTTTTGGGTCGCTGTGTGAAATGTTGCACGTGAGCAAATCCTATGAAAATAAAAATAAAAAAAGGAATGGTTAGAGAAAAAATAAAATAGAGAGAAGGAACTTAGTTAAGTAGCGTGTGCATTTGACACTTGTTAAAATATTTGCGCCTGTCTGAAACACACACTCGCAGGCACACACACGCACACTCGCACACACACTTGAGCTGTTCCTTGCAGTCGTGATGTCCTCGTCCTGGCGGGGTTGCTCAACGCCCGTCGCCTGTCGCGTATTTAGCGAACGTGTTTTCACAACTAACAAGGATGTTAATTTTGTTGCTGCTGTTGCACGTCCTCCTTTTGCGGCACTATTTTTATTTTTATTTTATTTCGAGCTTTGCACCAAATGCCTTTTCACACCCAGCAAAAAAGAAAAAAATAGAGAAAATAATGCTCATGTCCAGCGCCGAGGGTCTTGTATTTTATTATATACACTTTCTCTATACTGGGGTACTTTTCAATTTAAAAAAGGAACAACAAAATTTTTAAAATTATAAATTGAATTTTTAATATTTTAGTTTATATTTAAAGTTTCTTGAATATATTTTCTTACTATTTATTTATGTTTAAAACTCCTTGAACAATAGTTAGATAAAATCTCTACAAAATTTAAAATCAAATATTTAGATATTTAGATAATAATTATTTATATAAGCTAATAATTTAATCAACAAGCAGGACAATCATTTAGTAGCATGAATACCCCCAAGACTCAATAGAAGTTTCTACATTGATTTTAAAAGTTTCAAAATGTTGATATTAGGCAATTTCGATTGTGAATTTCTTGATTAGTGTATTTTTGAATTCGTTCTAACGATAATAGTTTTGCACGCTCGTATTTTATTTTTATTTTGACGCCATCGTTGATGTCCTCGCTGCTCCTGTTGCTGTTTATTTTACGGGCAGCGACGATTATGTGTGGCTCCCGCAACGGGAACGGGCACGGGCACAGGGGCTGTAGATGCTGCACAGGCGGTGAGGAGGGGAGTGAGGGGTGAAAGGAAACCTCAGCCACATCCGATACTCGACGGCGTTGACCATTTTGTGTGTTTGGATTGATGCGCCCCGGCGAGGCGAACTAAATACTTTGCACAAGCGATGTCCTCGCCAAGCACACACACACACAGGACACATGACAAACGATGACAGGCTAGAGAGGAAGACAAGGGGGCACGGGGGGGGGGCAGTGGAGGTATGAGGGACATGGCAAACCCTGCTGTTGACTGGGTAAAAGCATCCTTCATGCAGCTTTGTGCTTGTTGGTTTAAGAAAATTATTAAGGATATTTTTGTGGTGCTGATGAGTTTGCCGAGTACTTTTTCGGCCAGGACATTGACCAACCAACCAAACTCAAGCAAACAGCTTGTGTGTGTGCGTATGTGTGTTGGATGACGATCTCCCCATGGGTGTGCGTGTATGTGTGTGTGTTGGTTAAGTGTGCAGCGAACACAAATAGCAAAACAGGAAGCTCAAGTATGTTTACAGTTGACAACGCCAGAGGAGAGCTCTCTCTCTCTCTCTCTCTATAATGCCCCAAACCCAAGCCCAAACCCAATGTGGCAATCGCAGTCGGAGTCCCAGTTCCATTCACTAGTCGAGTCGCATCCAGGACACGTAGCGGGCGCTTTTGTTTGCCAGCCGAGTGGTCGATTGCTGGGGGTAGGGAGTCCTGTGTGAGTTTGAGTAATGGACGCTTTTATTTGAGCGCCACGCACACACACTCGTCAGCTAACCCCCCATTTGCAGTCAAGGCTCTGTGTGTCAAAAGGGGTCAAATGGTGTATCCCCTTTTTTAATACCATTTTTGAGGGTATTTTCGTCATGGAATGTGCAATGTCGCGCAAGAGAAGTCTTTGATATATTTATTCTTGATCAATATCAATGTTTTGTCTGTTTCTGTATGCAAACTTGTCTCAATACGTACATATGTCAAAATCGGTTGAATGTCAAAATAACGATGTCAAAAAACTCTTTGAGTTTTAAAATATCTTAGTTCAACTCGGATCTTACAAGTTTAGCCATTCCTTACGATTACTATATGTCTATAAGAAATTTCCGTCCCCAAAACATTTTGTTGTTGTCAAATATCTCATGACCAAACTTACGAGCTTTACATTTCTACTCACATTTCTGAAAATCAGAAAGAAACTTTTACAGTAACAAACGGTGGGAAAGAAATCTTTTGTATTTTAATACTTTAAAGCTATTTGCCTTAAAGGGTATTTAAGATTCGGCGTGGCAGTTGATAAACGTTCTTTCCTTTTCTGGCATTGTGGTTGCTGTTGTTTGCTTTGGCCAGCATTTGGCTTCAATATTATTTCGCTTTATCCGCACATTGTCATGGCGTATCAATCACTCATATTATACCGAATATATGGAATATATATAATATATATATATATATATATATGTATATTATGTGTTTATATATCTGAAGTATAGGTTGCTATTTGTTTGGGCTGAGTCGATTGCTTGATGAATTCTGCACTTAAATAGTAAAAATTTGTATGCCATTCATTTAGATTGTACACAAAGTGACGAGTGGAAGAGGCGACTGACGAGTGAAGGAGACGGCGACGAGTGGCATGTCGAGTGGCAAATCAACGATTGCTCTTTACACAATTGTCTCGTTAGGGGTAGTCCCTTGTAATTGATGATGATTTCTGTTTACTCTCCAGCCCAATTTATTATGATAAATCACGAATTAAAAGGGTGTCGGCGGGATTGGTTGATATTTTTAGTGTTTGTAATCAACGCTCTCTAATTGAATGCACAACATGCGTGCGAATTATTTGCACAACATCATCAGCAACAGCAACAGCAGCAGCAGAAGCAAAAATAAATCTGGGAATTTGCACTTCTCTACGTCTGCTTCGACACCCGTCTTCGAGCTCAGCTTTTAGCTGAGCTACTCAATGCATGCCATGTCACAGATTCGGCTGTGTAGCTGTCCTGGCCCGTGGCTTAGTCCTTATTTGCTTACAAACATTTAGCAACAACATTTTATGCGAATGCCTCCTGCTAATCGTTTTTGCATTTTGAAGCATGCCTAATGCCAAACGCGTGTCCCTGATTACCATATGAAGGATATTACCTACTCTGCAGTTGAAACAAACAAAGGCCACCCACAGAAATAAAATAAAAAGCGACTGACTATGTGAGTGTGTGTGGGGCAAATAATATTGACAAGTGGGAGGTGGAATATATCAAGATACTTTTAAGACAAAACGGGATAAAAAACATGCCTTTTTCCCGAATTTTCCAGGTTATGCTTGAAAACAAATTGAAAACTACTCAATCTAGTATTAATACAATTATAGATGCATTATTTCAATAAATCAATTTTTTAATATAGTTTTAGTAGAAGGGAAATGTCTTAAAAATATGAATCCCCTTTTCTTTGGAAGGTTTTCACTAAAAGATTGTAATTTCCGAGCGATCAGTGTTTTATTTTGAAAAATGTTCTAACTTCACAAACGTTCCACCTAATTTCCACTAGTGTGGGTGGTTTGCGTATAAACAATAAAATTAGTTTCGCAACATTGTTCCGTGAGGCTTTCAGAAAACAGTTTTTCCCAATGGGTTGAAGTTCTATGTTTCACCGACTCCAGCGTAAATCCACCATTTTCACCTAGCGAAATTGGTGAAATACCCGTGGAATTTGACAGCTATGAATAATCTTATAAAAATTCTACTTTCACGATGGAATTAAAAAGTGATGTGATTATGTTGTGGCTCTCGCTCTTTCTCAAGTTTCTGAGTTTTCTTGCTCTTTATCTCTCTCTCTCTCTCTGTGTCTGTCTCTTTCCTCTTTCATTTCTTTCTCTATTTCGGATTTTGACTTGCGACTCATATGTATATTTCCTATGTCATATTTTCACTTCTCTATTTATAACCGCTCTCTCACTCACAATCTTTCTCCCTCTCTCTCGCTCCCTTTTGCTTTTTCAGCTATGCGGTGATCACTGGACTAATTGGAATGCTCTCGCGTCGTTGCATGAAGGTGCGCGAGTCCATTGAGCAGAACCAAAGCGTCATGTTGAGCCTGCTGACCACGTTGGGCTTCCTGACGCGTTTCATTGATGTTTGTCCGCCCGGTGAGTAATTGTTGTTGTTGTTGCTGCGCCAAAGTCACACCTTGGCCAGGGTAAACAGGACATACTAATTAACCCGCTGCTGCTTCCTCTTACGCTTCGCCCTGCAGGTCCTGGCGATCCCACACGTTTGCTGGGCGCTGCCAAATCCACGGAACTGTTCGGCACCGTCGCAATGCTCGCCGGCTGTGTGGTGCCCAAAGGTAAGTTTTATAACGCATCTTAAATCTACAACATTAAACAGTAGCTGGACATCTGTGCCAAGGGGGCGTGGTCGGGCTCGGGTTTGGGTTCGGGGTGCTAATTGATTTTGTGTGCGTTTTACGTGAGTTTCGGTCGCTGGCGGAAATTAATTTTGATTTTTCTTGTGAGATGCTAAAGTTTTTATGGTACATATATATCCATCAATATCCGCTTACTATCTTCTAGTGCTGCTGCTTCTTCCACTTATTCTTCTCCTTTTGCTTTTTGTATTGCAGGTGAATGCATTCCGCCGCGCACGACCGCCTTGGCGGCATCGACTTTTAATCTTTACGTGTCGCTGGCTTCGCTGGATGTGAGCAGTTTTCAGGTGAGTTGTCAGCCCTAAACCTAAACCCCCCCCTCCCCCACCACCCAGCCACTCCCCCTTTTTTTCTACAGCTCTCTAGCTCGCCCAGTCTCCCCTCCCCTCCTCTCTACATATTGAAGTGCACAAATGCCGCTTAAACAAATCACAAAGTCAGCCGTTGAAAATTTCATTATGTTAAGTTTTTACTTTCTATACCCTAACCGTGGGTATTACAATTTTGTTGCTACTTTGACTCCGAATGAGTCTGAATCTTTTTCGAATCGTTTTGATTTCTAGTCGAACCAATCTCCAGCTGCGCGCACAGTCTTTTTCCATTAATTGTGTTTTGTGACAGCAAATTGATAAAGATTTTTGATTTCTGATTGTTTAATTTGAATTGAAGTCTTGAACAGGCCCTCACAACATATTTTAGGTTCCATAGGCAAAATGTTTGGAAAATTGATTCCTTAAATAAAAAACTTTGTTTAGTTTTAGATCTATTCTAACTAAATTCCCATTTTGCATTTTTTCATGAGGATCTTAATATATAACAAAAAAGTTTTTTTTTCAGTCTCTTTCAAAATTCTAAAACTCTTTTATACCCTGAACCCATTATTAGTATTCCAGTATTCCCTAGTCGGGAGCTCCGGACTAGAACCTCTTACTTGTTCTTGAATCGATTTGTAATTGAGATGTTGTCTAAAAAACTTTCTGCTGTTTATCAAGTTGTTTACTGAGTATAGATACATTTATTTGACATCGGCCATTTAGGTTTGTGAGGGTATTTAAAGGGCCGCAATGCGAAGAAAACTTTTTGTTTTCCCAATTTTTGTTGTTCTCAGATTTTTGTTGCTTTTCTTTGCTTTGCACTTGAGAAGTTTGTCGCACGTGAAATCGCCTGAGAAAATTGGGCAAAACCCCGACAGCAACAACAGCAGCAACAAATTGTGGCTAAAAGTTAGAATTCAGTTTAGAGACAATAAGGAAAGAAAATAAAAAGTTGTCGCCGTTTTCTGGCATCGAGTGGCAGCTAAATTTGCATATTGGCAAAATGTCATGACTGCCTTGTCAGGTGACATCAGTCTGGGTGGGGCACAGGTATGTTATCTGTCTACCTATGTGTGTGTGTGTGTGTGTGTGTAGGGGTTGCATGACATTTGCGCCAAATGACAAACAACATCTCAGCGCAATTGAACCGCAAGGGCGACGCCGCCGCCTGACATTTCGGCGGTGCGCTGTGGTTTAGCGCAAAGTGGGTGGTGCGGGCTGCCGTTTGCTGGGCAAATATTTCGACACTTTACCTTGGGGCATGTTGCAAGTTATGTGCAGGCGGCAGGCTGCAAGTGGTTTGCCAGATGAAACGGCATATGAAAGCAGCGCTTGATTGACTGGCTGCTTGACTGGCTGCTTGACTGACTGACTGACTGATTGAGTGTCTGCCCGATGCCTTGTCTACATTTCATTTCCTGCTGGCTCGTGTCAATATTTGTAGCCACAGCTTTGAGTATTTTTGCCCCTTGCCACGCCCCACGCCCTGCTCAACGCACTTGACAAACTAATTTGTTGCGCAAACAGCGCAAAATGAAAATGCAGGCAAGCGGCATTTGGCTTGGATTAGGCCAAGTTAAGCAAAAACTTGCCAGCCGTTTATTTGTTTTAAATTACCACAAAAATAGATAAACTTTCCCAGCCAGTCGCCACGCACCGCCCCGCCCAGCCCCGCCTCCTGATGCCACCCTTCGCAGGCACTCATCTTTTACGCCCTGCAATTGTTGTTGTTGTTTCTGTTTGTTTGCGTTGTCTAAAAAATATGTATAACTCTTGGCTGGCAAATAATTTGATTTGGTTTTAATCAGCGAGAGACGTAACACACACACACACAGACCAACACACACTCGCACACACGCACAACCACAGAGCAGCTCAATTTTCAAGTGCTGCTGCTGCTGCTGCTGTTGCTGCTCTGCCTGGCAAATATTGACTTTGTAAAATGAAATTTTCAAGTTTAACCCAAGCACCAGGCACACACACACACATACACACACGCACAACACAATCCGCACACACACAGCCAGCTACTGCCTGCCTGATTGTTTTTTGAAGGATGCCGCCGCGCCGCCTCGCCTGGCCTCGACTCGCAACGCATCGCGCGCATCGTTTGCTCTCTGAGCCATGCACAAATCCTCGCTCATATCCTGCCTACTACATCCTGCCGCCCCTCCCCCCACCGCCCTTGCCCCCTGCCAGCCAGGCAAACCAACCAACCAGCCAGGCACGTCAATTGTTTGGCTAAATATTTGCTCAATGCTCGTACAAGTTGCCAGTTTCAGTTTTGGTTTTTTTTTATATATATACCCTCAACGCATTGGTAATGGCTAAAAGGGTATAATAGCTGCGTGCGAGCGAATGTAACACGCAGGAGTAGGCATCACGATTCCCAACAATTTTATATGTCAGGCTAACAATGAATGCTCTACGTATATAACATAGGGTACTTCAGCAAAATATCGATAAATATCGATTTCAGATATGGATCTATTGGGATAGTCTATATATATAAATTTGTATATTGTACTCTCTCTTAAGGGTTAATCCTTGTTCTTTGTGCACACAGCTGGGTCCCATATGAAAATCCTAAGAACTGTATAAAGATCGGACTATAAAGGCTCTAGTTTTTCAAAAATGCATTGGCCATGCACTGTGCGGTTGAAGAAGAAGAAGATGCACATTTGTTATGCAATGCTAAAATGCTTCAAATGGCAGCTTAGCTGTGGGCTCGGAGTATCTCAAAGTCGGGCATACCCGATAAGATTACTCTGGTTTTTTGTTGTATTTTGGACTTTGCGTTTTTATTGCACTCAGCGAGGGTTGTTTCAGTTGTCAACAGCACAAAGAGAGCTGCCTAATTACTTTATGCCCATTTTTCAAGTATGCCTGATTAGCATAAATTTAAAATTGAAAAGCAGCTTAAGTCGAGGTTACTAACTAAGCTAAAGGTGTGCGGATGGTTTCGTTGTGTTCCCAAAGAGATCTGAACTATAAACTAAATATCAAAGAAATATAAACATAGCTTTTAAGAATTGCTGAATGCTTAGCTAGTCGAGGGCGGGTTTTTAGTGAATCTTAAATCATTTGAATTTTTTCCATTTATGTATTTCGACCATGCTCTGCTCTATCATTAATTAATGTGTTTCTTAAACCAACGATATTCTTAATATTTATCGATACCAATATTTATCGATTTGATCGGAAATAAACAGTTTTACACTGTTTGATCTTTGTTGTCTTTGTGTTTTGATCACGCTTTGCTTTTTAATTCTTGCGATATTTTAACTCAACTTTTTATCGATTTAACCGAAAGAGTGCAGTTTCGGTCGATCGATAGTTTTTACGACCATGCTTCCCATTTATCGATTTAACCGGAAAGGTATAGTTTTAAACTGTATTCTATTCTATTCGATGCAAAGTTATAACTAATAGAAAAAATGCTGTAGATCCTTTTTATTCGAAAGTAGCTCCGCCAAATTACTATCAATAGAGAAATATAAACTTTCGTTTAAAAAGAATTCCCTTAGCTATGCAACTTTGTGGTGTCGTCGACAGCGACTGTACCAAATTGTTGACTTTTTGTTGTCCACACTAATTGCAGGGTATCTGAGAGTTACTCACACCCCAATTTGTTGATTTCGTGTTGTTTTTTTTTGGCTGTGTGCCTCGGCCTTCGCAGTTGGCCGCACGGCTGCCAAAACAAACAAATTAGAAGCGAGAGCTCATTGCCCGTTGCTCGTTGTCCGTTGTCCGTTTGTTTCGTCCTGCTTCGTTCCGCTATGCAAATAAATGTATACCACACACACACACACCGACGCACAACAAACAATTGAGCACTTCACTTCCTGCTCTAAACAAGTGCCACTCTTTGATATTTGCTTTGACTTAATTAAAACATTTGCACAGTGATTCCTCACAATTTTTATTGACTTGTTTTCTTTTTTTATACTTATATTTTTCTTGTGTGTTGCCAATTAAATGACAACCCTACTACTGCTTCTTCTTCTAATTCGCAGGAGGTGCTTTCGGTGGAGGGTCCCTTGTCGGTAAAGCTGCTCGATGTGATGACCACAATACTCAATCATAGCATAAATCAAACAAATGCCACAGCAAGCTCGGAGAGCTCCACGATGCTGATAGACTTGATAGCATCGCTGGCATTCTTCAGTGTGAACAATCGCCGGCATCAGGAGATGCTCATCACGGAACCGTTTGCGGTGATCTTTAAGAATCTGTCGCTGCTCTCGACACAATTTAATCCGGTCATTTATCCATTTTTGGTGACCATGTGCTATAACAATGCCCCCGCCAGGCAGCTCATATCACGCGACTTTGATCTAGGGGTGAGTGCAAAGGACACAGCCAAATATATACATGTATATATATATACTAATGTATATAAACCTTGTTGACTTTATAAACCTCTTAACGATCGTTGCAGTTCCTCGATGAGTACAGCAGATCAGATGCGGCCAAGCGAAATCGTTTAATACAAATGATGCACGGCAAGGGCAACAATAAGAACAACAACAACAACAACAACAACAACAACAACAACAGTCAGCAAAACAAGGCCTGATTGTAGAGAGTCTCTATGTCTCTCTCTATCTCTATCTATCCCTCTCACTCTCACCCGCTCTAGCTATCTCGCTCTCTGCCAGTACGCGTGTGTCTGCCGCAAAGTGATATTATTTTCAAAGAAAATCAAACAAAAACAAAAAAAAGAAGAAAACTTCAAACATTCGCAAGTGAAAAATGCTTTGAGAAATGAGAAAGCATATGAATTTGCAATTATTTTTACAATAATTTATAATCAATTGATATATATATATATATATATATATATATATATATATATGTGTGTGTATTGTATGCTAGTTATAACACACATACATATATTACTTAACAATTCATAACTCACACATTCACAATCAACAACAACAACAGCAACAAAAACTAGCATAGTTTTATTACAATTCGCAATGTAATTAATGTTCGTTTTTGACAAAAGTATTAACATTCATCTGAATTTACAATAATTCTTCACACACACATACTCACATTTTGCAAATTCTCAGTTATTGCACACATTTGTTATTAACTTTATTTTTCGTTTCCATTTCCCATTAATTTATGAGACGCAAGCTAATGTACTTCGCTCTTTTTTCCAACAACAATTTATTATTAATATAATAAAGAACTTTGTGAAAAACCTTTACACATAAATTGCAAATTTATGGGATTGCTTGGAAATCGTTAACGAAAATCTATCTTGTAAATGGCTGTTTATAGGACAAATGCTTTGGCTCCGAGCTCGTGCTTGCGATTGTCAGCCAAATGGCTTTAAGATTTGTTTGACAAGCAAAGTACAATACAGGTGAGTAGATGGTCACAAATAAATGTCTCTTTTGAACGAAAACTAGAACTTGACTTTTGAGTAAACTTCGCTTTGATCTTACAAGAACGAAGGGATTTGTGAATCGTCCTGTAGTTATTAACTTTCTTATTCATGTGTTGTTTTGCCTTTCTTATAAATATTGCCATATTCCTGAACTAACTGTAGCGTTGTTCAAATTTGAACCGTCGTCAACTCGGATTCCTAAATAACTTTTTCGTTTGTTATCCAGTTGCCATACTCTAAAATTCATATACGAAATAACATCTGAAAAGTTATGTATTATACTATATTCCATATTATTTTTAGTATATTTATATCATATTAATTCATATTTATATTCTAAATTCCATCATATTATATTATATTCTATTTATTTTATTATATTTTCGTCTTCGAGCACTTCACAAATTGTGAAGTCCTTAAATAATTTGCAAGTGGATAGCTCTCAGGGTGGGGTCTGTTCCATTCTCTTAACCGAAAGGTAGATGATAAACAATATGTAATATTTTTTGTGTAGCCCAACCTGTGCGACTCAGTGTTTTACGTTTGAAGTGTTGCAAACAATGGGCAGGCACTGTTTGCAATTTCTTTTGGGGCACACAAATTAAAAACGACAATAATAATGTGCCTAGCAATTTGTGGGCGTGTCCTGGGGTAGATGCTGGGCAAAGAGGAAGACAAAACAGAAACTCATCAGACGACACAGTTGTCGTCGTGGAGCGCCTTTTGTCTTGGCCCCTGCTCTGTGTGTGCGGGGGCGGTGGGCGTGTGCGTTGAGCTGTCCATTGTCTCATTGTCCACGTCGTTGCACCTAGCCTGAATTATGTCACACGATGAGCAGCAGCAGGGGGACGGGACCCAGCGACAGCCGACAGCGACAACGACGACATCTAATTTCTTTGGACATTGTACGTGTGGGTTTTTAATGCTGCCATATGCACAACCCCTGCCGAGGGGTTGGCGAATTGTAAAAAAAAAAAAAAACAACAAGAAATAAAAAACAACAACAAGCAGCAGCCGAGCACAAAAATGCTGAAATTGAAAGGCGGCTCACAATAATAATAATAATAAAGGACCTCAAGAAACTCTCTGGCGACAGATTGAAGTCACTCAACTCGAAATGAAATGCGACAGCGCGGCGAACAGTTGCACAATCAAACATCGCAATATGCGAGTGCAAGGACATACTCAATTGATGGATGTGGCTACATTGGCTATGCGACAAGGTTTGTAACAGAGCTACAGCGATTTTCCAAACTTTATACAACTAAAAAAGTTGCTGGCAAAAACTGTCGCAGATATTAAATCGAAATTATTTTAATTGTTGGATATTTAATATTTAGATTATATAAGAGCAGCTCAGTAAAATCTAGCCTAAAGTATAACCTGGACTGCTTTACATCCAAAAGTAACTCCCTGCTCTTTGATTTGATTCGTTAAGCTGGTTTTGCTTTTAGCCTGGCTTTTATATATATTATCTAAATTTTCATTAAATAATTTAAGTATTTCATTTTTTTTGCCCACTTCTATTGAAAATATTGCAATCCTTCGATATTTTCACAAGGAAATTGCGGGCTAAATTTAAGCTCTTACAAAATTGGCATATATATGCTCTAAATTAAATTAAGAAAAACCTTAAGTATTTTATGACAAATATTTTCGATTAAGCTTAGGCTCACAGTAAACAATGATTTGGAAGTTTTTTTTTGAATATATTTTTGATACATTTTAAGTCAATTGAAATAGGCAAAAATATTTTATTTTTTACGTATTGTTTTAATATTTTATTTATGTGTTTATTTGTTTTGCCAAGAGTCAGCTGGTAGGCAGAATATCAAATAAACTAATTTGAAGTTTTGTTAGGGTATTTGAACAGGCGTTCTGCATGTTTTCGGTGCATATAACCAAGCTCTTTTGTTGATACATTATTTTTAATTTGTAGCGAAAAATCAATGAACAAATTGGTGTTAGCAGAAGCCAAGTGCTTGATGGGTGTGGGCAGGGGTAGGAGTAAGGGTAGGGTTATGGATATACTATATGTATGTATATATGAATACTCTACGTACATACGTGTATCTAGATAGAAGAGCTGCGTTGGCGGAGTTGGGGGTTTGGCTTTCGGGGCAAATGACGGTGCGTCGAAACAACCCTTTTCGAACAGATCCATAAAACCATAATTGCTATGTAGATGTGGTCGCTCGGGCTTCGGGGCACTAATTGCCGAGCAACAGCAGCAACAACAACAACAACAACAACAAAAATAATAACAACAACAAAAAACGAGTGACTAAGCAGGCGACAGTTCAGCGACAAAGTCAATATATCACAAAATACCAATTTGGGCCGCGTTGGCTCCTCAATCAAAATTATGACAATACAACAATAGAGCACAAAAAACAATTGCAACAACTACAACAACATCGACAACAACAACGTGCAACCCCCTGGGGAGCTGCGTTTTGTGTAGATTAGTTAAGCGTAGGCGAATGCCAATTATAATGAAAAAAAGTGCTGCGAGCATTGCGTGCGCAGAGCGCATAAGGCTTCAGCTTTATGGGAATATATTTGTCTCGGTTCTGGCCGGGTCTGGGTTTGGTCAGTTCTGTGGCTTTAAGCCACAAAGTTAATTGCAGCTTAAAGAGGCAACCGAACAAACTGATTTCAAGGTGTGCCCCGCACCCACAATACCAAAACAAGAACAGTTAGACAAACAAATTTCGCGCCTTTTCCGCAGTTTCACAGAAGGCAGCAAAAAAGTGAAGGAAAATATATAGGAAAATGTTGACCAAAGCAAAGTAAAACAACAGCATAGCCTAGGAAGTTAATGAAGATGGTATTTCTCTGTGGCGCAAGCCGAATGCGTAGATACTCTTGCATCATTTAATTGCTTGAGTGCAAAACTCCACAGAGAGAATTATAATTTTAGTTATCAGGATTTGATACGAAACAATTTAATTACATTTGTATTTCGAAGAAAATATTAAAAAATTATTGGAAATTTATTGAATGAAATTAATGTAGAGTAAAACAAGTCCTTACCATTCAAAAGTTCATACATTTTAGACTTTCTATATCTTTAAATATATCTATATATATATGTATCAAAATATCTATATGCCTGTGTATCTAGATAAGTATGTATCTTCATATATATATCTCCATATCTATATCAGATTCAGAGCCTTTCAAATCTCATGACTGATGTTTAAGGCTGCATCATATCCTAGTCTCAAAGTTAGTATACCCTTTGGCAGGACATTAAAAAGGGAAAGTTGACGGTTCATTTGTCCGTCTTTTTTACAGTTCTGTTTGCTGCGCTGCGCTTGGCCCAAACTGCGTGGGCAAGTCCCGTTCGTACGGTCCTATGCTGACCTGTGTGTACGAGAGTGTGTGTGTGTGTGTGTGCAGGACTTCCGGCCAGGATACGCTTCTAATTTGTTTACAAGCGACGGCCGTTGACGTGCTCGGCGCACATTATGCGCGATGCACGGCCAGTGATAAGCAGCTGGACACAAGTCCTGGGGGTGGCAACGACCCCAACTCCAAATCCAGCTCCGGGCAAGTGACTTTGTGACGTTGTAAAAGCGGCCAACGGGCAGTTATTTGTGTGTGTGTTTTTTTTTTTTTTATTGCGTGTGGGCAACGCTGATGACCTTACGATGACACCCAGCTGATTATAAAGAAATAGTCGTATCCTCGGGCAGCGGAAATGTTTGCAAGAAACGTTAAATTATATAACTAACAATCGAGGCAGGAAACGGGGCATTGGAACTGAAACTGGAACTGGAACTGGCTCTGTGTGCTCGATCGGGTACGTTCCCATTGAAAAGCAGCGAACCGCAGTTGGCTAAGCCGCTGACGTGTCCATGTCGAAGTCCTTAAGCAGCTTTGCCCGATGCCGTTGCTGCTCATTTGCACGTCGGCCCGGCAGCCAGCGAAGCGTCAAGGCTTACCCGGCACTGTGGACCTCAACCTATGGACTACGGACTACGGAGCACGGACTGGGGCGGGTGCAGGGCTACGGCTACGGCTACGGCTGTGTGCAACTATTTGTGCCAGTCGCGGGGCTTTGCTTTCAGCTGCAAATTTATGACCACATAAATAACGCAACAGCGTAAACCAGTGGCAGCAGCCACAGCTAGCAGCAACAACAAAGTCAATGGAGAAGTAATAATTAGACAGCAATACGAAGCAGCGGATACTCTATAAATGGTGAGTAGTCGATAGAATAGTTTGTGTTATATATTAAAAGCAAAGCAAGCTGAGTTATTAAACCAAAACTATGATTAAAGCATATGCAATTATATAGGGTATTTTTTAGTTTTTTAATGAGTAGAAATTGAGGCAAAATTCTTTCTTTAATTTATAATATTAGTCGGCTTAGGGACTTTTAAGATTATTATAATTAATAATATTATTATGATTTTATTTAAAA